CTCCTTGCTTTTTCTTCTCTGTTCAAGGTCTCACGCTTTTCTGAGATAAGCATGGAATGTTGAGACAAAGGCCCAATTTAGGGAAAGTGAATTGTTCTGCGCATGTCTAAAATGTGTTTTCACTAATCCAATGAATTGTTGCTAACTAACTTAATGACCTCAAAGGCCCACCCCTCTCGCCCTGAGGGGACAGCTATAAGACTGTACCAATTCCTTTGTTCTTTGAAGAAATCCTAATCACCCACAATTAAGGTGAAATTGGTTTTTCTTCCCGCCAAACTGCAGTGGCGTTCTGTTTTTGTTTTTCCTTTTTATGTAAATAAAATGAACTTCAATAGAAAAGCCTTCGTGTCTCAGTCTTTTGTTTAAGGTAAATTGTTTGGCATAACAAAGAGAAAACAGATAGGTGATTAAAGAATATTGTTAAAGAGGTTACTGAGAATAAAAACACATACAAGTAAACATGTAATGAAATCCAGTTTAATGAATGGTCCTCAACAACTGTGATTTACATCTATGATTTACATACCAGCTAAAAGATCAATAAACCTGTTATACTGGCAGCACATGTCTGAGCCATATTTGGTATACTGTGGACTAGATCCACTGGTGGCAGCGTAAAAAGAGGCCACGCATCCTGAGGGTGGACGTGTGTTTGGGGAGAAATAAACTAGGGACACTAGGGGGACACGACAGTCCTCCTCCATGTTCTATGGCTCCCAGTGGTTTTCCCACAATGAAGTGGATTCTGAGTAGCCTTGGGAGCTTTGTGGGTGAAATCATTTTCCCCCACAAATCTTTTGGACTTATGCTTTAAAGATTGACCTCTAAGAGATGGGACTTCTACATATAACCACTAATAATGTGTTTTGATGAACTCATACTTACGGAGAACAAAATTTGATCTTAAGTGATTCACTGGTTACGCTAGTACAAGGTGGCCCCAATGATATAATGAGCCCAAACTAATGAAGAAGGGAGAAACCTAGATTTCATCCCCAGAGGTTTCCCATTTAGACACCAGAAGAGTCCCTAATCTCCAGGACCCTCCCCCCTTTGTTTTGCATCAGCTACTTCCTCCACTTTTAAAATGTAAGCTATAGTTTAAAATTGTCAAAAATAAATCCAAATCTACTTGAACACCACAAAATCCTTTGAACACAGCAACAATGCAAGAGTTATAGTCTTTCACTGCATGCTGTTCTAGGTGAAGGGATAACCTTCAGCAGGCAAATAGATACAGAACTTTTACCCAAAAATCATTGTATGAACCCAGGTATGCTCCCTGATATCTGAATTAACTAGTGATATTTAGTGATTATGAAATTACTGAAAACCAACACATGTGCAGGAGACCATGTTAGCCACACACCCTCTGTCACTGTTGGTCTGAGCAAGCCTCTTGCACATGACAGCTATTGATGCAATTCGGAACCTTGGCATTCAACCTCACATGGAGAGTTTCCATGCAGAGAGGAAGTTTTCCTCTTCTGACTTCCTCTTAGCACAAGGAGACTAATGGAAGAGGTGAGGAGTCCAGACTGAGGGCTCCGCAAGTACATGTTGATTATCCTTGTTCTTCTAAGTGCTAAATAGCTTTTATATTAGTGTACAAAAAAATCTCCCACATGTACGCTAATCTACACAGACTGTACACATGATGGATGTATCCTGTGAACAATCTGTATTACTGTATTTGCTGGCGTACAAGATGACTTTTTGGCCCTGAAAAACATGCCTCCAAGTGGGGGGGGGTCGTCTTGTATGCCGGGTGCATGTCCAGCGAACCCTCCCTCTCTCCCAGTGAAGTCACTTACCTGGTAGTAAGACCGAGTAGAGCCCCGCTCCTAGCCTGGGAACAGCCTGACTCTAGCGCCAAACAGCTGACTGTCGGGAACAGCAGAGAGGAGGCAACCATTTTGAGATGCGACCATATGGCTGCTGCCTCTCAAAATGGCTGCCACCTCTCCAAAATGGCTGCCGCCTCTCTGCTGCTTCCTGACAGTCAGCTGTTCGGCGCTGATGCTGTCCTTCTTCCAGGAAACCCTTGCTCTCTCCCAGCAAAAGGAACCAGAATCATACATGCGGAAGAGGGGGTAGTCTTATACAGCAAGTATATAGCAGACTCTACATTTTGAGTGGAAATGTTGGGGGGGTCATCTTATATGCCCAGTCGCCTTATACACTGGCAAACATGGTATATCGCTACCTCTTTTAGTGCAAAAGTGGTTGGAACCAATACTGCTAACTCTTCAGCCCTTGCTATATTAAAAGGTGACCCCTTTATAGGTCTAAAGAGGGGGCTTTTAAGCTCTAGTCATGGTCAACCAGAGTGTGGGCAACTAATGGACTTAACATGTCATGTCATCTGTGCAGTCTTGGCCAAACTATGCAGCCCCAGTGTAGAATCAGAAGGAGAGACTAGCATTTTATACCTAGAAAATCCTGGGAAGGATCACTATATTGGAAAGTATCTGATGACACATCATCATCATTACTTTAGGTCTAATCCTGCACTTTGAATTGTTTCCAGAGCGTACAGGGTCTCTTCCGATCAGAGGTAAAGCGCTTCTGCAAATGTAACTTGTATGTCTAGAGCTTCGGTACTGTGTCCACAGAGTTCAATCAACTCCAAGAGAAGGGAAGGCTGGACCAGACAACTGCTAGCATGGTTGAGTCTAGCAAACATGAGGGAAGGACTGCTCTCTTGAAGCCTTAGAGGACGGGCATGTAGCTTCCAACTTTGTCACTATTGCGTAATAGGGTGAAGGCCCTTTAAATGGCAACATTTTTGTGTCAGCAAGAATGGTGTCCACAGAGTTCAATCAACTCCAAGAGAAGGGAAGGCTGGACCAGACAACTGCTAGCATGGTTGAGTCTAGCAAACATGAGGGAAGGACTGCTCTCTTGAAGCCTTAGAGGACGGGCATGTAGCTTCCAACTTTGTCACTATTGCGTAATAGGGTGAAGGCCCTTTAAATGGCAACATTTTTGTGTCAGCAAGAATGATTTTTTTGTAAATGGCAACATTTTTGTGTCAGCAAGAAACCTCAGAGAAAAGCCATGAGATGAGAATAATAAACAAAGGAAGAGGATCCAGATTTGCAAGAGTAAAAGATAGTGGAGGGGGTGGGGAATTGATGGGAAATCAGCAAGAATATACTTTAGATGAGGGTGGCATTGTGTGAAACAAGATTAAATACAACTAAGTTGTGTCCGATTCTTCGTGACCCCATGGACCAGAGCACGTAAGGCCCTCCTGTCTTCCATTGCCTCCCAGAGTTTGGTCAAATTCATGTTGGTTGCTTCGATGACACTGTCCATCCATCTCAACCTCTGTCATCCCCGTCTCCTCTTGCCTTCACGCTTTCCCAACATCAGGGTCTTTTCCAGGGAGTCTTCTCTTCTCTTGAGATGGCCAGAGTATTGGAGCCTCAGCTTCAGGATCTGTCCTTCGAGTGAGCACTCAGGATTGATTTCCTTCAGAATGGATAGGTTTGTTCTCCTTGCAGTCCAGGGGACTCTTAAGAGCCTCCCCCAGCACTACAATTCAAAAGCATCAATTCTGCGATGGTCACTCTACTTTATGGTCCAGCTCTCACTTCCATACATCACTACAGGAAAAACCATAGCTTTGACTATGCGGACCTTTGTCGGCAAGGTGACGTCTTTGCTTTTTAAGATGCTGTCTAGGTTTGTCATCGCTTTCCTCCCAAAAAACAGGTGTCTTTTAATTTCATGGCTGCTGTCACCATCTGCAGTGATCATGGAACCCAAGAAGGTAAACTCCGTCACTGCCTCCATAACTTCCCCTTCTGTTTGCCAAGAGGTGATGGGACCAGTGGCCATGATCTTAGTTTTTTGATGTGTAGCTTCAGACCATTTTTTGCACTCTCCTCTTTCTTACTCATGAGTAGACCCACACCAGGGATGGGCAGAGAATGCACCGGCTTCCTGCGCCCGGCAGCAATCCAGAACTGCCCCTGCCTCTCCTTCCTCCTCTTGCCCCGCAGGAGTAAAAAAAAGTTCCCTGACCCCCTGCTCTAACTGTTGGGGTGAAAGGGCTACAAAGAAGAAGCCTCTTCACTACCAATGGTTTGAATTTCCTGCCTTTTTCCCTGCCTTTTTTTGTTCTTACCTCGAAGCTCCACTCACAAGTTGAAGCAAAATTTTGCAAGCAGATCTGTTCATAAGTTGTAATGTTTGTAGGTTGGGGCATTCATAAGTTGAGGTACCACTGTATATCCATACTTTTAGATAATTTCTGCATAAATTTATTTGATCATCAATAATAATAAAATATTCAAAAATCATTTCTAGTGTCTGAATCATAATACTTAAGAAGTGTCATGAATAAGAGTAGTCCTCCTTGCAGGAAATAGTTTTCTTTTTGTTTTGTTTCATTCTTATTTATCTTTGAGTGATATATGCAAATATTTGTAACTAGCTTTATCATTATATTTGTGAATTTCT